AACAATTTACCAACACAAATAAACTTTCATGTGACTGTGATAAAATCATCTGATCTCACAATAATGATCGCCCTGTCACTTCGTTGACAAGCTCCCATTATTATTGCTCGATCAGAGACTTTATTAAGCTATATATGAAAAAACATATGGGAAAAAAAAGAGGATCGAAGGTTGCTAAAAACCCATTTTCTTTGTGTATGTAATTTGGCTGTCCTAACAGACTTAAGTATTGTTACGAATAGAATTATTAGTAATTCCATATAATAACATTTCTTTTTTTTCATTTATTTCTAAATATGTACAAGATTTTAGTACAATTCTATTTTCATACGTAGCAGAAACAACATATTTCTTTGTACGTAAATATTTAATCATTTATTCTATTATGGAAATTGAAGATGGCTTAGTGGCTTAAATGCATGAGAATCAGATGAACCATGTAAACCTCGAAAAATCCGCGTATATGTGGTTACACTAAATTGTGCCTTGAAATCTTTCAATGTCTATGTTGTTTTTTCGGTGTATATCTTCAAATTTTCACGTAAACCTTGAATTTAGGTGTAAACCTTGAAATTTCGATGTCTACTTGGTGGAAAAATAAAATGTATATAAAGACCATGAATTCAATAAATGAAAGGATAGTTCCTTGTCCAGTTTTAATTACCATAAAATAATAAAGTATATACTTATCTGAATTTTCTCTGGAGACTTTGTCTTTGAATTCGACTTGTAACTTTAATAAACTCTTTCGAGACTCAATTTGATAGACTGAATTGACTTGTTACTTCGATTTGGTTTATTAAAACTCGGATTATAGAACACCTCCGACAGTTATAAATAACTCCAAGTTTATCATTATCTCCCCGTACACTGTTGGAGTTAAATTAGCCTTTGTTCATATAATTTTCTTAAGCTCTCCTATCAACGGTTACAGTATAACATTACTGCTTTACAGTTCCAGCCTCCTATGGCACAAATTTGTGCTAATGACAGCCCTGCCTGCATCGCTGCTATTGCACTGCCAATTCTGATGCTGTGAGCAGTAAATCTGCTGTGAATTTTTGGATGATCCTTATGAACAATAGTACCAACCGCTCCAACTGTTATCTGTTTTCCT